TCAATCAATCTACAATCAATTTTTCCTTGTAGGAAATTGGTTTAAAATTCGATTATAATTGACTCCAATCTCAGTTTTGTTTATTTGGGTAAGGTTAATTTTGTTCACTGCTTGAAACAGTCCGCTCTGCATTTTTCAAAAAATTGATCCTTGTTTTGTGATAAAAAATAGAAATTCAAATTTTTAGGGGTTATGACTGAAAAAAATTTGTTGAACAAATAGTTTTTAATTTGCATTGTAAGCTATAACTTTATGAGAATGCAATAAGGTTTAATTTAAAAAAAACATTGTGGGCTGTTTTGTGAACTTTGAAAATTATCATGTCAAATATACAAATGTCCTGCATTGAAATAAAACTGAAACCCATATATCATGTAAACTTAGCCTGAAATTAAAATTTTTGAATGAAACATTAGCAACAACATCATTTGTCAGTTAGATGACTCAGATGACTGTTCGATTTGTCATAATTGGTTTGCTCAAATGTGCTACTTTGAAGAGCATGCAGAGTTTATACAGCTCAACTCATTTCTGAGAAAGTAATATTTTTTTAGACAAAATAATTGATTATTCTGAACAGTGAAAAATCTCCAAATTTTCAGTTTTAGTGTCTAAAGGGGTTACATACAATCAATTTTAACGAGTAGGAGATCAGTTTAAAATCAATTATATTTGCTTCTGATCTTAGTTTTGCAAATATGGATAAATTTGTTCACTGCTTGAAATAGTTCGTTCATACGCATTTGCTTTAATTTTTTTGCTGATATCAATTTACAATCAGATTAAAAGTTTCTGTTGATGGTTCGTAATTAATTATTACAAGTTGAAGTCAGAAAAAATGGGTTTTAAATCAAATAAAACGCAGGCGCTGAATATAATTGAATCGTCTACCGGGTTTGCTGTCATGAAAAAACTATTTATACATACACCTCCCCTGGTAATTTTGTTATATTTAACCTAGAAACCTGTCACTGTCTCAATGATAAAGCAACGCTACTTTAAAATGGCGAAAACCATTGTTTCAATGTGAAGCTGTCGTGTAGAAAAATTATCTTTTTTTGACTGGGATTTTAATCTTCTTGAATAACTAACTTATTACAACTGAGTTTAAAATTTTAGCGATAAGAAAAAATGACAAGTTAATTTACCGTATATAAAAACAAATTCGAAAAAAAAAATAGAATTAACTAATAAATTAATCAGGCTTCTCAAAGTAACTATAAATGATTCAATATTCTCATGATCAACAAAACAAATTAATATTGAAATTTTTTTGAAGAAATCCAAATGTACGGCCAAATTTGCGTTCTGAGTTTTTAAAATATCCAGATTTTTTTTGCCGTTTATATTTAGAGAAGTTTTTGTTCTGCAAAAAAAAGACCTGAATCGAATGTCTGCAAATGTTTATCTACAAGCAGAACTGTTAAATATTATTGTTCCGATTTTCGATACGAAAGTAACGGAATATTTGTGCTCGGGTGGGTTTTTTTTTTCTTCAGACAAATTTCGACTTTTTAACTAGCCAACTTTGACGGAACTTTTTTATATCATTCAAAAATTATTGTTGTCCTGAGCTTAAATTTGAAAAGATATTTCACCTGTTATCATTTTTCGTAAAGTTATGGGGGTTTAAAGATTGCCATTTTGGCCAATTTGGGACAATTAACGCGCGATATATTTCGCGCCAATAACGCGTAAGCGGAAAGTTAATCCGTCTTAGAAATTGTTCCAAATTGGTTGAAAGAAGCTTATTCGCCATAATTGATTTGTTACAAGAAGCGAAATTTATCCTTTTGTACTTTATATGGCGTGTGGGGGGATGATTTTCATAAAAAATTTCAAATTAAAAAAAAAATGTTTCCTTTAGTTTTAATATATATTTAATTTTTTTATAGGTTATTACTGCTCCATAAACATTAAAAGGCAATCAGAACATTCAGGGCTTCGCCCTGATACGAGCAGTCTTGTTAGGTTTGTTTACTGTCAAGTTTATTTAAATGCTATCACAAATTACTTTTCAATTTCATCCTAAGGAAAAACTAAAGTTTATCCACATGTTCTTTGTCAAAAGAAAACAAAAAAAGATTTCTGGGTTCTTTTCAAAAATTGGACATTAAAACTATCTTGATGAAAATTGATCGAAAAATGAAACAGCAAAAAATTTTAAAAATTGGATTATTAACTGCCTTAAAACATTCTCAATACTTGCAGTCAGTGAATTTTTAAAATGCGCAAATACACTGCATAACCAAGCTAGCAGTCAATGATGAATCGCGTATAAAATTGCAAAAATATTAAATATTTGCGCCACACAAACGGTAACCAAGATAAAAATGTAAGCTAAGCGCAGTTGACAATTTGGTCGTAAATATAGTCGAGCTCTACGTCAATCACAGCCACAACTTAGCTTGCGTAGAATCCATACGCTCAGCTTTTTTGGTCGAGACAGACAAAACAGTCAAAAAGAATTAATGGTCTAATAAATCATGCAAAAGTGATTTTGCGCATATTGAAGAACAAGAGTGCTCGTATCAGGGCTAAATCTTGATTGTTCCGACTGGCTATTAGTTGGTACGAATGATTTTTTGGTTAAGTGAATTATTGACAACCTGCAAATTTCAAGGCGATAATATCAAATTTTAAAGGGGGTGGAGATAAATAACAAGGTACATAATTCTTCGTATTTGCTTAACCGTTAAATTCTTTTTGGGGGGGGGGGGGATATTCGTCACAAGGTACCATTGGGAGAAATATTTAGCAAGATCCGGATAACTTGCCAAGCATAAATAATTTCCGTATTGAAACAATTTATCAAAATATTAGTCAAACCTTCCGCACTTTAGTCTGGTTCAAACCTACTTGCTTGTCAATTCAAAAAAATTCCGGAGCAATACTCATACGCAGTCAGCGGCTTTTCTAAGACCAAGTTAATATCCGCCCCACTCAAAGCCGTTTGGGGGAAGGATGTTAATTTGGTTCTACGTTAAAATTTTCAACAATCAGAATCGAGCATTTTTTAGCTGTCATAAATTGCTCAAAGCAGCCTGTTTGTGGTCACGAGAACTATTGAGTTTTTACGCTTGCGATTAGCAAATGTTATCAAACCGGAATATATACTTTTTTTTGGGTTATGAACTAATTTTATACAGTCACTTGAATTTGGATCATATGAAATAAAAAGTCAGACGTTAATTTGTGCAAGTAACAAAAAGGTCGCTTACCTTCCTATGAATACAAAGTCAATGATTCTAATCCGGCACAGTTTTTTTGTTAGCGGACCAAATTGCCTAAATTTGGGGAGTTTTTTACTCAAATTTAAAAAACTCAGTGTTTTGCCCTTCTGGGCAATTAATTGGGTTCTGGGAAGCTTTGATTATTTTTTTAATTTTTTTTTTTCATGATGTTCATTGCCCTCGCAAAAAGCTAGGATATTGCAATCAGATACTAGATAAATATCTTTGTTCACAGGACTCATCTCATCTGGACTCATCTCTAGTGGCTTATTGTATTTCTTCTTACGGAAAAAAAAACACTTTTTACGTTCCTCTCCTCACTTTTTGAGTTGGTTGCTTTTTTACCAATCGGTTTGTTGAAGTTTATTTTTTTTTCGGATGAATAGGTTACGGCTTCTTTTATATCGGCTTACTAGCCTTTTTTTGCGTTGAAATTTTTGAAAGTTGTTTTCATTATAAATTCATGGAGTGTTCTCTACATTTAGTGCAGTGGTAACACCCATTCTTGAGACGACAAATCCCAAAAATTCGATTTTGTTCGGGACTTGTTGTTTGTCGAAACTGAAATTTTTCAAACATTCTAGAATTTCGTGTCTGCTAATTTTTGTCGGCTTAGATACCGCAGAAAAGTTCGGTTTCTTTTTTGGATTTTGAAAGCTCTTTGTAAAATTTTTAAAGGTGCAGGTAATTTTGTTTCAGGTATTTTTTTCTTTTTTTTGAAATTTAAATAACTTTTTTGTCAAATTTTTTTTTCAATTGCTGAAAATCACTGTTATAATTTTTTGTATCACAATTGATGCGAAGCTCCGCTTTGCTTCTGTGTAAAAATCGCAAAGATAGGTTTGCTTCATGCAGACGTTTTTGCCCAACAGAAACCCTCAAATGCGTCTCTTACTCGATTAATTGATCCAGCCGAGTTAATAATTGCGAAAAATACATTTTTACTTTTGGCTCAATCTGAGCCGCTAATTGTTGGATTTAACCAGCTTTTATCTCGGCGACCTCGTAAAAAGGTCAAGTCTTTTTGCAATCTACTCATCATATTAAAACTTGGGTCGAGACAGTCAATAATTATGTCAAGCACTTTGTCGTGGGAATACTTTTCTGTTAATTTGAAATTTTGACAATTTTTTTCTATTTTATGATTAATTTTGGGGTCTTGTCTTTTATACGGTCCAAAACTGATATTTTTGATGTTTCTCAAAATTAGATCACATAATTGAATCATAATGCTGGAAACTAGTGTATTCTAGGTGACGTGGATGGATGCTACTAGAATAATCCGTATAGCATCAATGATAAGTTTGTAGTTCAAATGATTAAGGAAAATGTACCTCAAATGTTTGTCGACATCAAAATTTGAAATTCAAATTAAAATAATTCCAGCTTCTTTTTAAACTCAGTTTTTTGTTGACGCAATTTTTTGAATGAATGGTAGCTGACTGCATGCTCTTGAACCATACAGAGAACCAACTGACATCTCACATTACAAGTCTGAAAATGTGAAGATGGACGGAATAGCTGCTGCTTCCGTTATCCGCTCTTCGCCTCTTCATCCTTGTAGTATCTGACCTTAAAGTAAACAACTTCAGTCTTAAACGATTCGCTAGTTTCTATTTGCAAAATTACAGTTCACCATTGACAGAATCACTGTGTTAATGTAATGTTATTGTGTTAATTTACTGTATAATGGATCAGCTCAATTGGTCTTGTCATGTTACCTTGTTTGGGGTCGCATTAAATGTCGTGAAAGTGAACACCACCCACTACTAATAGGCCAAATAAAGACAAACCATTATTAAAAGTAGCTGCAGTTGACTTTACAATTGAATTCTATATTGGCCAGGCACAACTAATCAAAAAATGAATTTCCAAATCCCAGCAATAACTTAATTTTGAGAGTCGAACCACATCAAATACTGATAAACCTCAGAATGGATTGCCGCTTCTCATCGCCACAATTGGATTCGGCTAAGTTTGACGTAGGCTTGATGAACGAGTTTGACGCAATTGAACGAGAGATGACAGAATTACTCAATTCTCTCGAGTACAACGATAAAAAGAGTGAAGAAAAACGGCCACCTGTGAGAAGCAGCTCAATTGGACGAATGAACTATCTCAATCCTTGCCAGCAACAGCTGAATTCTGGACCTAAAAAGGTCCAGCAAGAAGTTCCTAGAAGAAGACTGATTGAGAAAGGCAACCCTTCTCGATATAGGTCCATGGGTGATAATCATTCGTGGAATAATTACTACAACTACATCGACCAGGATGGAAAGAGCGAGAGGTCAAGTGAGTTACGGTGAGCGAATGGTTGTTTAGGGCTGTTTTTTGTATTAACTCGACTTGAAATTGACCACAGTAAAATTTTGACGGCACCCTCCCGTTACGAGGTCCGCGACTTATTCCCAGACTTTAAAAGTCACACTGCATCTCATTCCGCGACTAAAAACTTGTAATAGACACAAAATTGTAAACGAAATCCGAAGTGCGAAATCTTCAAAATAAGAAAAGGGGCGACGTCTCATATAATATAAACATCATAATAAATAATTTTCCAGTACATAGGCAAAAAGGATATGAACCTTTCTGAAAAAATTAGCTCAGAAGTGAGAGGGTCGGCCCTTTCCCCTCGACACGATTCTGCGAACAGTTTTTAAGCTCTATCTAAATTACCGTGATTAAGCATTTCTGAATTTAATGGATAAAATGTTCTTTTTATGAAACAATACACCGAGTTTCCGGAATTTAGGTTAGAAAAAGACAACAGAAGTCATCAAGAGGAATCGATCGAGGAGTTAGATGAGTTCAGAAGAAGACTTCAGTTGTTCGGATTGGATGAAATGCGGACCAATCAGAGCGGAGGGGAAAACACAATCAGCACGCTATGTCCGTCAGACAGTCGCCCACTGGAAAGTAGAAGTGTCGGCTCACTTTCAGTGTCGGCGGCAGACACCTTCGGCTTAGAAGAACATGATGAGAACGTAGGAGGTCACTTTACAAGGAATGGCGAAAGAGGAGTAATGATTCAAGGTCACCGAGAAATTCAGCGGGGAAAGACGACAACAGTTAAAGACAGGAAGCGCATGAACAAAAAAAGTAGAGAGAAAAGGTAGTGTTTCTGTTCAAAACAACTTTTTCAGATTACAATACCTGAATCTAAAAAAAAGATAAACACCAAATTACTCAAGAAAGCTCTCGACTTTTACAGAGTTCAATATCATATATATAAACCAAATGCTCTAAGTTCTCAAACCAGTTAGTTTCTTTTCAAGGATTTTTTGAACTTACGCTATGCTCGAGTTTAAGCGAAATAAGTTTTATCGTCGAAAAATACAGTACGAATGATTGACATGTTTTAACTGCACCTTTCTAAGGAAATCAAATGGCAATTCAAGTCTACAAAAATAGCCAAACGTTTTTGTTTTATCAAGGAAATTCAAAGAAAAGTTGAAAACTATTTTTGTGCCTCCCCCCCATTGTTTTTGTTCCAACTTTCGAAGAAAAAATGGAAAACTTTTGCTCTGTGTGTTTTTTATTCAGAGAAATTTCAAATTTTTAACAACCCGCTACGTTTTTTCATCTCAGAGATATCGACGCCCTGGGCTCAATAAATTGATATTTTACCTATGATTGTTTTTGGTAAAATTACGTTGGTTTGAAAGTTGCCAATTTGGCTATTTTGGGACAAGTAACGCCCGATACATTTATTCCGTGAGCGGCAATGTATTTCGGCTCAGAAATGTTCCAGTTTCAATTTAGGCAAGCTATATGAAGCTTAAAGGTTGTTGACGCTAAACAGCAACTAAATCACCTGTACTTAACATAATGTGAGGCTGGAATATTTGAAAAAATCTGAAAATTTTTTTTTTTGAAATTACTTGGTCCTTGGAATTAAGGGGCTGTTGAATTTTTAACAAATTTCAGCTAGCTAGCTATTCTAAATACTAGCTCGTACTTCTTTGTCATTAGATATTGCTATCAATATGACAAAACTTTCTCAAAATTTTGTGAAAATAGGCACAAACGTGCCAGATTTTCCATAGAATCTACATACAACAAAAACCTCGCGTTTGCTTAAATAACAATAAATCCTGAATTGAAAAACGGCAAGCTAAAATGATTATTTGATATTTGTTTAAGTTGTCATTAATTTTTAAATCGAAACCTAATTTATCGAAACCTAATATGCAGATGACGGCTGAAAAACATGATGAGCTCGAAAACTATTTTCTTTGAAAATAGTTTTTGAGCTCATGAAAATTGTTTCAGTATTGTCGAGTAACCATCGAGTATTATCGAAAAGTAATCTGGGCGTAATTTGCCTCTCAGTTAAGGAAATGCTTGAGCCACCAACAAATCATACGTCGCGAAAACACCGTCAATCTGTTCCAGCGAAAATGGCTCTTTGAGCTAGTATAAAGTTTTTAAGACGAGTAAGTTTTTTCAAAAAATTCACAAAATCAATGGCTTCTAGATAATACTGAAACACAATTCATGAGCTCAAAACTTTTTTCAAAGATAATAGTTTTTAAGGTCATCATGTTTTTCAGATGTTTTTAGAACAATGTTCGCAATATCAGGGACCTTAAACGGTCAAAAAAACTGTTGTTATAGGACAATTAGAATATTTGTATAGCGTTTCTTGAGTGATTGGTTTCTCAAATGGATGAAAAATTGATTTCAGACGTCAACACGAGCGGTTTTAGATTGAATTACTTCGTTCAATTCGTTGCATTTACTGTAAATCACAAAAAAAGAATAAATTAACAACCAGCCCCTTTTCATCCAAGGCCTCTCTTTGTTCAAAAATCATTACCAAGTACCTTGATAAAATGATAGTTATTGTTAGATTTTTCGAGTTCTGTTTTTGCAATGACATGTAGTTGAATGATAATGCTGTACTTGGGCAGCAACTGGTTACGTGTTTGTGTGCTCCTTTTCAGTTTGTCAGACACACTTTTTTCAAAGTTAAAGTTTTATGATTAATAAATTTATAAATCATCATATGAATTTACTGCAATCCAGCCTGACTTGACATGGCTAGCTAATTGACAGAAAACCATTGTCTTTTTTTTGTATTCGGGTACTTGTTCATGTAGCTTTACCAAATATATATTTTTTGTTTTCGGGTGTATACTTTGTCTTTTTAATCTTCAAGTTTTGAGATAACACGTTCCATTTTTTTGCCCAAATTCTAGCAATCTTTTTTTTGACAAATGATTTTTTAGTAGTTATATTTAATCTTTACAAGCAAAATGATGTAAAGAACAAATCTAAAGGACCAAAATTGTTTTTAAATAGAATATCACATCTAGCAAACTTTTTTGGCGTGAAAATTTTTTCATCACTCGGTTTATTTGATGATTTAGACTATCAATCAATGTTTTTCAGCTGTCATCTGCGGAGAAAAACGCCGTCAAAAAAAAGCTTGGTCAAAAATTAGGTTTTGAATTAAGAAAATTGAGTCATTAATGGCAACTTAAACCGCAAGATAATTATTATCTAAATTTTGCAAACAATTTTGCTCAGATCCTAATCTATTTCGTTTAAAAATACAGTTTACTGTTTATTGAATCGCCAAGTCGATTACTGTCTGTTATCAGGGGCGGATTTAGGTGGGGGGGGGGGGGGCTGACGCCCCCTCCCCTCAGTGATTCGACCCCCTGCCGACGCAAAAGGTCCCCCCTTGGTTTTTTTAAGAAATCCATTTTTTGGCAGATAGACCCTAAAATTTTTCTAAAGGCGCATTTTGCGCCAATATATACTCATTTTGAGTGGAAGCGCTCGCCAAGAAAAACCGCAATTATTTTGTCAAATTTTTTTTTAAAAACCGCCCCCCCTCCTCGCTCGAGAACATCCTAGATCCGCCCCTGTCTGTTATTGTTAATTTCATTCAAAGTTATATCCATCCCCATTTTGAGCTATACAATGAGTCATAGGCCTGACCAGTTTTTTTTTAGCTTGTGTCTCCTACAACGCCCATGTAAAAGAAGTTCCTTTTTTAAAAAAATTTTCTTAAACAACTGGCTTTGCAATTTTGGTAAAAATAAAGTTTTCGAATACAAGCAAAGGTTTTTATACGTAAATTGAGCATTTAGGCTAAATTGTTTTTCATCTGAATGAATACCTTGTCAATAGGCAACCATAACTGCTATTACTGCTATTCGGTCAATTTTGTCAATTTCACCACGTAACTGCAATAAATGCTATTTCTGCTATGTATAAGGTCAATTTTTGGACTTTCTCAGGAATTTTCTACCTAATACTTAAATTTCTGAGAAATGAAAGTTCACATTTGATGCTTTTCAAATATTTCAAGGCACTTAGCACAGTGGTAAGGCGTTCACTTTGAAATCGTCAGATCGTGTATTCGATCCTATGCCATGGCAATGATAGTGTGTGAGGACAAGCTCTCACCTGACCTCCAGCTTCAGGTCTACCACAACCTGACCAAAATTTGGCTGCAATAGTGGTACCACGTAAAAATTCTAGATGCAAAAAAAACGGCCTTGAGTCGTAAAAAAACAGCTTTGCTCAGCAAAATAACAATGTCTGGAATGTGGGGAGATAATACAAATGGACTATCCTCGACAGGACTGTTAAGTCCTACTGATAGCTCCTCTGCGATCTACCCGCAGTAACTACAATTATTTATTATTATTATTATTTCTGAGAAATACGTGTGCCAGTAAGCAACGTATTTGACCATTTACGATTGCGACATGCCTCGTGCGAAGCTTCTTTGATAATCGGAAATCTTAATACTCCCGATGTGAATTATGGGGGATGGGTATTAAATTCTCGTTGAACTCGATATTTCTACATGAATGTTTTTTGGTCATATTTTGAAGTCAATTTAAGGCAATTTTAAGGTCAATTCGATAGCGCTATAACTGACGTTTTAAAGTCAATTTTTGTGGTTGCCCTGCTTATCAAATCAATTAATGCATGCCAAAAGGCGCACCATGCTTATCGTCTCCTCCAGTACAATAACCTCATCGGCTTGATTTTCGGTTTTGGGATGCACCACTGATTGAGTTCTGTTTAGATCCAGTGAGCTGTCTCTGAGTGAGCAATGGGCTTCGTTGGACAGATCAGGACCCAAGGGGCTCGCTGAAGGCGCAGACGCGTCTATGTGCAGGAATGTTCAAAGAGTTTTAAAAATTAAAATAAAAGTCTAGTTTCAAAAGTAGATTCAACTTTTTCAGTCACCACAAAAATAATTTGAGTTCATTTCCTCAGTCATTTTGATTTCTTATGTCTCGAGCTTGATCGTATAAACTTCCTGAAATTAAGAAGATGGAATATGATATAGTTCAATCAATTATATTACAAGTCTTTTAGCAGTTTTTAGAAGTCTCCCTTTTGTGTTCGATAACTTTTTAAATTTTTTGAACTTAACTACGTTAAATTTGATTTCACCTGATCAATACTATTAACTTTTTGAGCATATCTGTGTGTGTGAATGCAGTAGTGTCGTGAGTGGCGTGGAATCTGACACAGCTTCGATAGCCTCCCTTCCTTTCTTCACATTCTCGGACAGTGTCTCCCAACTGGATGTCCCCATACTCCTGTCACACCAGTCACATCATAGTTGCTACCTTTGTGATAGATGGGTCCATAAAGCTCCCGTAATCACTAATGAACTAAACACATGCCTAACATTTTGTTAATTAAGAACTGATTTTTTTTCCTGGAGATTAAGACCATTTATCCACTGTTGTGCCCCTGTTTAAGAACTACATGCAATTTTTTGGTTATTTTTCTGGGCTGGATAATGTTGCCTCACCCTCAAGCAACGAGCGCGGATCATGGTGGGCCTCGAACAACCGACTTTTCGATTTCGAACCACTTCACCACCGCTCCCCTTTGAGATTGCTCGAATTTTCCATTTTTTGCCATGAACTATTTCGACGTAGCAGTTTAGCTCGAACTTTTTGCCCAGGTTTGTTTTGTACAGACGTTTGTTTGTTTGACACCTGTCTATCACAATGGTCCAATTAGACAGTGGTTCCCAACTGAATAGCAGAGACCACGACAACAGCACCTCCACCTCTTTTTCTTCCCTCTCGTCGGCTGATAATATGTCTCATCATCGCCGGTATAGAGAATTGCAAAAAAGTTGAACTAAAAATTATAAATCCACTATAGAAATTGATCTATTTCAGAACCCTTTTGCCAATTAACGCTTATTTTACAGAAAAAATGTATAATTTAAAGTTTAGTGAAACTTCAAAAATGCATGCAAAATTATGTTGAATATTGGGAGCTCGCTTTTTCAACTTAATTTGCCAGGTCTAAGCGTATGCCATTTTTTATTTATCTTATATCATGCATAAGACGTGTATTCAATTCGTTAGTCGAACGCCTCTAAGGGAAAAGTGCTGGAAAATTATATAAAAAATGGTTACGCAAAAATGTTGTTTATGTTTAATGTTTTTGAAAGCCCTTGAACGTAAAGTTTTGCCTCTTAACTAAACATTTATCAATATTACTCTGAACATTTTCTGTCTCTATTTTCTAGGGGATGATCCATTGAAGTAAATAACCTAGAAGATCATGCCTTGAATATCAATTACTATCTGTTATTACAGGAAGTCGATACAGCTCCAGATCCCAGCTGCCCCCCTCGCCAGTCATGTCAACTGGGAACAGCAGAAGGCCAAGAGGGGCTCGATCGGAGTCCCATCTCCTCTCTTCCTCCCCCATCCCTTCGCGGGGATCAAATCCCGGACACTGGTTCATTGGGAACAAGGGAAGTACGGTTAGGAGGGCGAATAGAGGAGGGGGACAAATGGGGGATGAGGAAAGAGAGAGTTTAAGGAGTAGGTGTATCAGCAGCGCCTCGGTCGCCGGGGGACTTGATGATCAGTATCCATACTGGGGGGTGTCAACCCCTATCCCCGGGAGAAGTAATAGCAGAAGCAGCAGTAGACATAGATCACGTGACAGCTGTGTGGTGTGCAAACAGCCGACAAGCGAGACAGTGGATGAGGATACTACACGATCAGGGGACTCCTGGTCGCAATTGTCGCGACAGTGTCTGGATCAGAGAAGAGAAAGAGAGAGAAAGTGGGTGCATGCTGACTGTATGGACAGTGTGTGCCCTGTTTGTCACCAGGTAAACACAATCAGGTATTTAAAAAAAACAGAGAAAAGAAGTTGTGTTCTTTAAACTTTTTTTGTGAACCGCAATACTCAATCAAAAAAAGGATGATAGCTTAACTTAAAAAAAGCAAAAAATCATTTCCGAATTTTTGGCCGTCTTCGTGTTGGTTTTTCAACAGCAAGAATAAAATAATAACTGCTTAAACACCGATAAAGTTAGAACAAAAATATTTTTTTAGCACGCTCAATTTTTAAAAACATGGTTCTTATTAATATTCCGAGATTATTTTGAAAAAGTAAATCACGACTGGAAAAATTTTAAGGCGATGCTGCAAAATAAGTTCCTCTGAGAGCGTTGTGATATCTCAAGTTGCATTAGCTTTTTGAGAGCCAACGCCAAACAAAAGTTCCGTCCCATTTCTAGACGTTGAAAAACAAAGTACCTAAGCTTTTTGTTGTTTTTGCTCAATTTAAATTTTGTTCCGAACTGTTGCCCTTTCACTCTCGAAAAAGCGGAAGAAACTACGTTGTAATATATGCTTTTGTCAGCAAAAATTAAAAATTACAAAACATCATAAACCACAAATACATGACAGGATCAGAAGTAACAGTCTAATTTTTAAAATTAATTATTATCAGAATGAGCAATCAAAACAAGATGGAAAATATCTGGCAGACTGAGCTCTTTATTTGTTTCTACTGCTATTTGAACCTTGCTGAGGTTCATTGACAAAAATGTTTGATGGAAAAGTTATTTTAGTTTGCTTCATTTAGATTACTGTGGTCGAAACTTTCAGTGCTACCCGCAGCTGTAATCGATTATAACTGATAAAATTGGTGATAAATGTTGCCATTATAATCCATTAAAAATACACTTTGGGATTACGCAATCATTTATAATCCAATATAATTAATTATTTTTGGAGAAATTAAATTGATTATACTCCATTTTTAATCCATTACACTCTCTATATTTTTTTTTCGAAATTTTCTGCAAAATTTGTAGCTTTTTCTGCATTACTGACAGTTTAGAAAACTACTCGGTTTCTAATGCTTCTCAGATTTACTTCTTTTAGCGTTCTTCTAAAATTTTACATCCATGTCAACCACGCCCAAGTTTACACCCATACCCCCACATTGATACGCACACCTACCCTCACAAACCCCGCCGCGCCTACCCCAGAGAGGTGTTAAAAGGTGTGTGGGGGTAGGGGTGGGAGAAAGAGAATTTAACTTTTTTCTTTAAACAAATGTCGAACACAATTTAGAGATTGCAACTTTCAAGTTTTGTCATTTTATTTTCAACATTTGAGAAAATCCAGTCTTTTACTTATAAAAATCTATTATGATTCTTTAATAATCTATTATATTCCATTAAAATTGATTATAATTGATTAAAATTATCGCTGTTTTACTTTTTTACAATCGATTAATATTCAATTATAATCGATTCGTGAGATTTTTAAGGAAACAGACCGTAAAATCCATGATACTTGATTATGATCAGGCGGGTACTGATGACAGTAGCCAGCTTACTTTCAGTTACACACAAAATTGAACAAACCTATTTTTTCTGAATCTCTAACTTTCTGGAAACTCAATTTGATCTTATCTCAAAATAAGGCTTCAAAAAAGTATTTGGGTTTTTTGATTTTTCGATGTGCAAAAATGTGGCAGTTCATTTCATTCTTTTTTCATACTTGTGTTTTTTTGCCTCTGTCTGACTGACCACAAAGGGGGGAAATTTTTCATTTAAATGTTTTTATCTTCAAAACATAATATAAATCTCAAATAATATTATAAATCATAAAAACATTATATCTCAAATCAATCTATAATTATCAACTGATTTTGAGTGCTGTGTAAAAAATAATAATAAGTCTGAGAGTCAATTTGAGAGCTAGTGGCTGATCTAATCACAAAAGGTTCCAATGAAACAATGTTCTCTTCGTCAATAAAATATCATTTCTTAAAGAGGGTTCGAAACATTATTGATTAAATTATAGACCTACATCGTTTTTAGTTAGCAACATTTTATTTTACCAAAACAGTTCAGCTAACCCTGCAAAATGTCAACTGTTGATGCCAATGCTGAATTAATTGAAACAGGAAAAGAAAATTTGAATATGAAAACGTTTTTGAACCTACCGAAAGTCCTCAATGAAGTTTCACGCATAATTAAACTAGAAACAAAACTGCTCGTATCAGGGCAAATCCCTGAATGTTCCGACTGCCTTTTAAGGTCTATTGAGCAGTAATAACATGAAACAAATCAAATGTTAAAAAATATATTTTTTTTTAAATTGAGATTTTTGTGAAAATCATCCCCCCACACGCCATATAAAATACACAGTGATAAATTTCACTCTTAGTGGCAAATCAATTATGGCAAATAAGCTTCCGTTATCCGAATTAGAACTATTTCTAAGATGGATTGATTCTACGCCTACGCGTTAATAGCACGAAATATATCGCTGGTTATTTGTCTCAAACTGGCCAAAAAGGCAATCCTTAAACCCCCATAACTTTACAAAAAAAGATCACAAGTGAAATATCTTTTCAAATTTAAGCTCAGTACAACAATATATTTTGAATGATGTAAAAAATTTTGTCAAAAATGGCTAGTTAAAAAGTCGAAATTTTTCGGATGAAAAAAACCCACCCCGAGCACAAATATTCCTTTACTTTCGTTACGAAAGTCGGAACAAAAAGCTAGGAACATTATACAAGAGAACTAATATAACATCTGCTGAAATCATGCTTTTCAAATCGCTCGTACAATTTGTGTTACTGGAGACAATCTTCCATAATTCAAACAAAACTGCTCGTATCAAGGCGAAGCCCTGAATGTTCCGACTGCAATTTAAGGTTTATGGAGCAGTAATAACATTAAAAAAATTCAATTAAATAAAGCAAAATGAAAATAAAATTTTAAAATTTGAAGTTTTTTATGAAAATCATCCCCCCACACGCCATATAAAGTACAAAAGGATAACTTTCGCTCCTTGTAACAAACCAATTAGGGCAAATAAGCTTTTTTTAACCAATTTGGAACGATTTCTAGGACGGATTAACTCTCCGCTTACGCGTTAATAGCGCGAAATATACCGCGCGTTAATTGTCCCGAATTGGCGAAAATGGCAATCTTTAAACCCCCATAACTATACGAAAAATGATCACAGGTGAAATATCTTTTCAAATTTGAGCTCAGGACAACAATACCTTTCGAATGATATAAAAGATTCCGTCAAAAATGGCTAGTTAAAAAGTCGAAATTTGTCTGAAGAAAAAAAAACCCACCCCGAGAACAAATATTCCGTTACTTTCGTATCGAAAGTCGGAACAATAATAGGCTGAGAGCTCCTTAGGACCTTGTGTTTGAACCGATATTTTTCAACTTATACTTAAATGATTTGCCAAATAGTTGCTCAAACAGTAAAGTTGTAACGCTTGCAGATGACACCAATATTAATAAACTTTACGAGAAGATATGAACAGCCAATTGAAAGCAGTCTGGAAGCTGCTTGATGAAAAATACCTAACTTCGAATGAATAAAAAATCAAAATATTTTTTTTCAAAAATTGTCGAACTTTTTTGTTATGCGCAATGAATTTTTTGTTATGCGCTAAAATACGTTTAAACAAAACGTATGCGCTAAAATACGATTTTCGGAACGGCAACAAAAACAGATCTAAATTAAATTGAATGGATTCATTGCAGAACAAAATCATTAGATCAATGTTATCCAAAAAACATTTGACAATGTAGGAGACCTACAAGTTCGGTGTAAACTGTTTAAGGTGAAAAAAATGCTTTGTCGGAAATTAACTTAACGAACTAAAAATGTACCCAAACTACTAGCAAGAAAACACTCGGTGGTAAAGTGTAAAATGACATAACAGATACTTAAAAAAAATTAACATTAAATGATGATTTAAAATGTAGTGGGAAACAGAGAACATAAAAATTTTAGTTTAAACCACAAAAAATTATGCCCACAAAAAACTTTTCAAAAAATAATCAGAGAACTTTTCAGTAATTTATTACATTTAGATAATTCTATAGTGAAAAGCAACATTTTACTCAAATCCACAAAATTGAAAACAAATATTTGCTCAGGTTTGAGGATTTTTATAAGTTAGATATTAGGAATTACTAGAATCCTTGAGATAAGACTGGAAATAAATGGAAAAACTGGGAAAATTGCAAAAAAAAAATTACAAAATCTGACAATTTTTTATCTTCCGGTTTTTTAAGTTTTTTTTGCGTCAAGTTCAGCTCATGAGTATAGTTTTTTTATTTTTTTTTCTCTTTTTATTAGTTTGACTAGTGCGTTTTTTAGGATGTATTTGAAACGGAAAATCTGATGAATGGTTTAAGAGACATCACTCGACAGTTTGAAATGCCTTTTGATATTCTTTCGTGTGAACTCAACAAATTGTGGTAAAATATCCAGAGAATCAATTGAAGATGAAATACTTTTTTGTTATGAAAATTGCAGACAACGTCTCATTCGTCTTCAAACTTTCCGCTACAAACACTTTCAAATCGGAACACTGTGTGCTATTTAGACAACGCCGCAATTTGATGTATGTGTTGAATTTCGTTGTAGGCTGTGTTCTGGATGGAGGAAGTGAGTGTGGAGGGCCAGAGCTACCACAGACAGTGTGCCAAGTGCGCATTCTGTCACAAGCCACTCTCAACACACTCGGCGCACACAATCACCCAAGCAACGTACTATTCTGAAACAGGTGCTTACAGCCGATAGTGCAGTTGTCCGACCAAAACAAAGAACCTTTAGTCAGCAAGTCGAATTAATTATAGCATGGTTCCAAGCCTGAAATCAAAATTGGAAAATTGGCGACAATTTCAGATGTTGGTGCTTCGATCGTTTTACAATCACTGCCCGTTGCCTCAAGGGTGATGGCAGCAAGCTGTCTTTTAAAAATTTGCAAAAAACTGCATGCGTATATTATTCTTATCATGGCCTCGAGTTGATGAAAAATGCTAGCCATACAATTTTCCACTATGTCTATTACCGTGTAAACATCCAAAAAACCAAAAAGCTTTGCAAACATCCGAAAAAAGCTTTACTAGGGCAGACAAGCAATAATTTTTAAAAATTAGGGTAAAGATCTTATTTTTACCGTTCGTTTAACAGATGCTGTAATGACTGCATGAAGGCGGATCGCCGCGGTCGCACCAGCGTGTTGCAAGCTTGCCAACAGAGGGTAGGACTCAATATGAAAATTGGAGCCGGTTTTGTCGCAAATGGGCGACGCTCATTTAGCGCACCCACCGGCGACCTTAAACCGAGAGTTTGCCTCGGATAATTGAACTACGTCTTTTTTGAAAGTCTAACGTCATCACAATTATTATATAAGTTCGATGTTTGACATATCGGATGTTTGCCCTAGACAATCAGCCTAAAGTTTTTTAGACCAATAAACCAAACTCAACTCGGGTGGACGATCTTCACATAAAAAGGAGGAAAGATGTAAATTAATTTAAACGTTACTATTCGATGAGGATGAATTTCTCATTTAATATTTTTCTAGCAAATAGCGATAGAAGCCAAAGAGCAGACAGGTATAGAAGAAGAGAAGAGGAAGGAAGACGTCGCCAAGTATTGGTGTGTGCGGCGTGTCTGCGGAAGAAACAAGCACAGGATAACATGCAGGCACCATCCACCACAGCCATCAGTCAAAGGTAATCTGTTACAATTAGACAGTTAAGATGTTTTGCAAATTATCCAGTTTTGCTGAGCTTTATATGTGCTCATTGGAGTTATCAGATCAAAAACTATATTGAATTAAAACATTTAAAACATTAAAACATTTAAAAACTGATAATTTTCACGACTGTTTAGCTGGCATAGGTGAATTGAGGGATATGGCATGAGTAGGCTCAAAAATGTAACTTAGCTGAGTTCATTTAATTTTCTCCATATTTGCAGGAATACACAATTGAGGACAGGGAGCGAAATCGGTTTCAGAGGAAAAATCTGGGAAGGAGAGGAAAACTTAAAGAATAACTTCAAAAGCTACAAATCGTCACAAAAACACTCAGGTAAAGCTAGATTTTCAAAAAAACTCGAAAAATATAACGACCATTTTAAGGTCAACCAAACTATGATGCTCCCAGCTCCATAGATAATATCAAAATCAACTGAAGAATTTTTTTAGAGCGTGTCCAAAAGAGCTGGCCCGAATTTGCGAAATCTGCCCTTAAAATTAAAACTTAATGTTTTGATGCACGTTTTGTGGTTATCGTGAACTAGGCTCCGACATTACTTCAAGTGTCTATATCTGATGGAAACAGTATACGATTTCTTTAAATGTTTTTATTCTGATTTATGTAACTCGATCAGAAATTTTTATCAATCGAGTGGCTACACATCTTGCTATGCGCGCATATCGCTAGTTTCACTTTTTTTTCTGCTTGAAGTGTTTCAAAACAAGCTATTATGTCTAAAAGTTTCCACCCAATCATTTGTCAGTTGGTAAACTTAAATTAGTTTGCTATTCTGACTTTCGAAGAAATTTTTGGAATATTTGTGCTCGAGCTGTTTTTTTTCTGCAGACTTCGGTTTTTTAAGTAGCCATTTTTGACAGTATTATTCAAAACAATTCTAGACGTATTGTTGCCCTGAACCCAATTATTATTCAAATTTTCATCTGTGGTTATTTTTTGAATAGTTATGCGGGTCTAACGATCATTTAACGCGCGATACGTTTCGCGCCAAGGTTTTGCGCCAAAAAAGAACAATTAACGCGCCAAACTGGGACAATTAACGCGCGATAGGTTTTGCTCAATTAACACGTTAGCGGAGGTTAAATCCACGCAATAATCGTTCCACATTGGTTAAAGCAAGCTATTTTGGCATAAATGCTACGTTACTAGGATTGAATTATATCATTTTGTACTTTATATGGCGTCAAGGAGGGTTACTTAAAAAAAGTGTTTCGGACATTTGATTGGCCCTGATACGAGCAGTTTTGTTTTTGTTTCCTTTACGTTGCCACTAGACTAGATTGGAAATAATTGGCTGTGATTTTGTTTGTTCCGGAGAGGGAGGAAAAATGGGGAGGAACTTTGTATTCGGGTGCATTTTAGTTTTTCTGTTTATTTTTTTTTGTTTTCCACGCAAAATCAGCTACCACAAAAAATTATAGATGAGAGTTGAGTGAAATGTCATATTGAAGTTATTCCAGTCGTAATTCAGCCTTTTCATTTGCGTAAAAATTTCCAAAACAATTTCCCAGTGTCGAGAAAAACCGGTTTGAACTATTTGATTTTTTGTCTTAATTCGAGCTTATAAAGGAAGCGAGCAGGCTTGCAACAGCCTAATTATGCATAATTTAAGCCCTAAAAAAATAGTTTCAAGCAATTTAGTTTGTTTTTGGAATTTCTTAGCTCAACAACTTTTTCACAAAAAAGTTTATATTTTCTGCAAAAACTTTTTAACAAAAAAGTTTATATTTTCTGCAAAAAACTTTGAAACAAAAAATTGATTTTTTAAATTTTTTTTTGGTTTTGTAGTCCAATATCTGCATTTTTTCCATTTTGCTATATTACTATGGCTGTCGAAAATGCCTAAATGTAGTTTTACGTCAGATTCTTTTATCACACCACACAGAAAAAACTACGATAATCTTTAAAAAAAATTGTAGTTTTTTAAAGACTCTAATCGGAGCATTCTGTGCTACGTGCTCAATAACCGGCTATCCTTGTTCTACTAACTTTTAAAATTTAATTCTAATGGTCAAATGCAATTCCGTACCGAAGGTTTGATTCAAATGGAAGTGATACTTACAAAATTATATCACTTATTAAAGTAAACATCCAACTTTGATAGAAAAAGTCTGAACGACAAATTGGTTCAGCTCAAAATCGATGAAAACTCTTGAGTACCTGCCATTATCTACCAACCAAGATAATCTCACGCTTTGAAACCTTCTACATAGGTCCATCTGAAACATCAGTAACATCTGGCAACAGAGCAAAAGGAGATCTCCTAGTGAATTGGCAGCCGCACAGGGGACACAGATACAGTACAGACACGCCCCCTAGTAGACGGTCACTGGGTAGTGTGTACCAAGCAGATGTCTTACCCCCACCATCCAAGAAAACCACCAACATTCCACTAAACGGTTAATTGCCTCGTTATAGGGAAATTTTTTTGTTGAACGGTCCAAAAGTAAAAAGAAATGGGTTGCTAACAACCTGTTGTTGATAAACCACAAGGACATTTCTTTCGGTTACGAGTTGATTCAATCAATCAAGTTCAGGGGTTTTAGCAGGGGCGGAGTAAAAATTTTTTTGAGGGTTTTGAATTTACAAAAAACTCAAGCGGATAATATTTACTTTCAGAGGTCCCCCAAAACACTAAAAAAAACTATTTTTCCACAAAAATTTTGCCCCGCAGGAGAGATTTTAGAAACATAGTCAAGAAATGCACTTTGTTGGCCTTTTTTGAAGAAAATGAACAGCACTTTTTTGGTTTTTTGGCGCGCACTCCTCCCTCAAAATTAGCATGTTATCGCCGTGGGCACTTGTAGAAAAAATCTAAGGCTAGTCGGTGAGAGAATATATGAAAATTGGGCCAAAGTGGATCCTTTTTGGCGGCGAAGGGGTACGAATGTCTGACGGGGATATGGCGTCGACCCGCATCCTCTCCCTTAAATCAGGTACTTCTCAGACTGACTTAAAGATCAATTATACAGGCCGTATAACAGAACAGACATCGTGAACAATACATAGCGAACAAAACATGTGTAAATGTACCCAATTGAGAGGAAGGCACATCATATGAAGTGTGCGCCAAGTTAAAATCCCCCGGGTTTTGCACAAAGATTCTACTAACCTAAGCTACTTAACAGTTACCCCCTTTCTTGAAAGGGGGTAATTTTTAAGTAGATTAATTTAGTCGAAACTTCGACCAATCAAAAGTCGAATAATAAATAGATTCGAATAAAAACTAGAACGCTCTAGTGCTAATTTACTGCTTTTACTTATAGAGGTGGTAATTCTTAAATAGATACCAAAGGGGGCGATTGTTAACTAAATCCCCCCCCCCCCCCAAAAAAAAGAGCTTAGGGGGAGGATGTTAAATTGGTTTTAAATTGGAACTTGCAGCCAATCAGAATCGAACAATTTACACCACGCAGCACTTGACAAATTAATCCAAAATTCATTGCTGCGATGGAAGATCTGGTTTTCGCATCTGGTGTGGGTGTCAACCAATAAACCTTCTAAAAGCGTTCTTAGTTTTTGTAACCACGCAAATGGTTAATTGTCACCTCGAAAAAATTTGACAGCATTTAAAATTGTAGTTTTCTGTTTTTTATTTTAGATATGAAATCAAAATGATTGTTTAAGGCACGACAGGAGATCAAAAAGAGAGTTTGAGGAGAGATCGGGGCAGTGCAGCCGGTGAATCAATGCGGAGACGTCGTAGCAACACAACGGGACCAGAAGAGTGCATTTGTGCCATGTGTGGGGGTGTGATTGGCTGGGATGAGTCACGTGATGTTGTTGAGGACAGACGAGCTCAATGCCAGACTAGTGAAATACCAGACCAAACTCAAGGTCAGACTTGAGCAATAGAAACCTAATTAAAGGTCAACTGGTATAAAACTCAATGCACTCAGACAAGGTCAACTGGTCTGCTGGTATTTGATAAACTAATTAATTAACTGGTAATTAATTAACTGGTACTATTTGATGCTCAGTTTGTCGTGTCATTTTATAAACACAATCTCAATTCATTCTTCAACAATCAGTATCTCTTCTCTCTCCTCAGTTGAAATCTCAGATAACTCTCAAACCTCTATCCCCTAGTCCTACTTGCTCTAACTCTGAATCTTAACAGGTTATGGGCCCAGATTTCTAAACTTTTTGATTTAATAATTATTTGATTTCTGTCAGAGTTTTTTTTTAGCTTTTATCTAGCCTTTAGCAAAGCAGAGATGGACTTGAAACTGGCTGGATTCAGTGGAAAGTCTGAAGATTTTCCAGCTTGGTCGACGAAGTTTGTGGCACTGATGCATACCAAAGGCCTGTTCAGGACTGTGATGGGCAATGACGATCTACCAGAAGCTGAACCTACGCTACCTGAGAATCCGAATGCTGACCAGATGACGGCGTACAACACCAAGATGCAGGAGCGAGCTGTGCTGATCCAGCAGAGGAAGGACAACCGAAACACAGTGTGGTCACATCTAGCTCTGGTCCTGAACAACACCACACTGATGTACATCAAGAACGACTGCGTGGCTGCGGATGGCTATGGCGATGGGACGAAGGCCTGGAGACTGCTGCAAGAGAAGTTTTGCAGTGTGGAGAGGCCTACAGTGGTCAGTCTAGTAGGCCAGCTTGCGAAGCTGCGCCTAGGATCAGAGGAGGATCTCGATGACTACTTCGTTCGAAGTCAAGAGCTGATGACGCGGCTGAGTGAAGCTGGGGAAGCAATTACGGACACACTCTTCAATGCGCTCGTGATCAACGGACTGCCTGACAGCTTTGAGCATTTCGTGGTGCAGGAGAGCTTCCAGCCGGCCAAGACTTTTACAGAGCTGAGAACGAGGTTGAGGAACTATGATGACTCGAGACGAGCTCGATGTGGAGAGAAGACTGGGAATGGACACATAGCTATGCAAGCTGTGAGGAAGAAGAAAGGAGCGTCGGGTGGTGGCTGTTTTGTGTGCGGTCAGAAGGGTCATTTGGCAAGAGATTGCAGATCCAGAAGTGACAGTGGTCAATCTGGTGCTCGAGGCAGTGGCTCGAATGAAGCAAGTGGTCCAACTTCAAGGAAGCAAGGGTGCTTCAAGTGTGGACAACAAGGACACTTTGCAAGGGACTGCAAGCAGGCAAAGACAGGGTTCTTCAGTTGTTGTGCAACAACCTCAATGAAGGGAGATGATCTCATTGTGGATACGGGATGCACCGATCATGTAGTGCGCGACAAGGCTGTCTTCTCAAGCTTTGAGAAATGGGATGAGGGGACAACAGTTGAGAATCCGAACGGTACAATATCAAAGATTGAGGGCATAGGCTCGGTGGAAGTGGACATACGAGACTGTCAAGATGTGACGAGGAGCTACACTTTCCACAATGTGCTGTTTGTGCCGAGCTACAACGTGAATCTGATGAGTGTGAGCTCAGCAATAGCTAGAGGGTCTAGTTTCAGCTTTACATCAGACTCTTCTCATCTTGTGGCACCGGATGGTCGACGGCTACCAGTGAAGCAGCGCGGCAAGCTTTTCTTCCTGGAGTGCAAGTTCAAGAGGAACGCGATGACTCTAGCTACGAAAGCGAAGATGGAGACAAGTAGTGCAATGCTGTGGCACCGAAGGCTGGGGCATCTCAACAAGCATGATCTAATATCAGTTGTTGATGTCGGCGAGCTAGGGTTCTGCGAAGTGTGCACAGCTTCGAAGATGCACGAAGTAGCAATGCCAAAGAAGACAGAGAACAGGGCAACTGCAGTGGGGCAGCGGGTCTTCAGCGACATCCAGGGACCATTTGAAGTTGCGAGCATGCATGGAGCGCGCTATGCCGTGAGCTTCATTGATGACTTCAGCCATCTGGCAGTGGTCAAGTACCTGGTTAAGAAGAGCGATACTCTTTCGAAGTTCAAAGACTTTGTAGCTGAGCACGGAACACCGAAGTGCTTGAGAACTGACAACGGAGGTGAGTATTCGTCGAATGCTTTTCGGATGTTCTGTAGAGAAATGCAGGTGAAACAGGAGTTTACAGTACCTAATACTCCGCAACAGAATGGCGTGGCAGAGAGGTACAACAGGGTGATAACTGAGATGACTCGATGTCTACTGGCCGATGCAAAGCTCTCAAAGATGTTCTGGGTACGAGCAATGTCAACGGCAGTCAGGGTTCGCAACTTGTGTCCTACATCCAGCAATGAGCATCGCATTTCATCAATGGAGATGCATTATGGGAAGCCATCGAAAGTCAACTACCTGCGAGTGTTCGGATGCCTGGCGTACTACCTGGACAGAGGAAACCGGCGGAAACTGGATCCGAAAGGCAAGAAGAGCAAGTTCATTGGTTATGACGAGGAGAGCAAAGCCTACTTGCTGATGGACCTGGAGACAAAGCGAGTGGTACGAGCAAGAAGCGTGACGTTCAATGAAGACATCATTCCAGACGACTTTCTGGTAGACAGTGAGCAGTCACAAACACTGGGTCTATCAATCGAGGGATGCATTGATGTAGAGGAAACTAGCACGAAGGCCATCACTGAGTCTACCAATAAAGCGAATGATAGTGGAGCAGCAGCTTCAGTGGGGGTTACGGAAGATGACCCAGTCGAGACTGAAGAATTGGAACCACCTTCCACAGAGCCTCCAGAGCAGAGGCCAACAGAGATTCCAGAGCAGCGGTCAACTAGAACGCGGAACCCTCCCATCCGATACGGACTGGCTTACACTCATGCTTCAGTGATAGCACAAGAGCCAAGAAGCTACTTGGAAGCAGTATCTGGACCAGAAAGGGAGCAGTGGCTAGCAGCTATGGCTTTGGAGGTGCAGTCACTGAAGGCAATGGGCACCTGGACACTTGTTGATAGACCAAATTCTCGCAAGGTCATTCCTGGACGCTGGGTGCTTGCTGTGAAGAGAGGTGCAATGGGACAAGTGGAGCGGTTTAAAGCCAGATACGTGGTGAAGGGTTTTATGCAAGTGGAAGGACTGGACTTCAATGAGACCTTTGCGCCAACCTGTAAACCAGAAACAAAGAGAATACTACTGGCTTTGGGAGCGCAAGATGATCTTGTACTTCATCAGATGGACGTGAAGTCAGCCTTCCTCAACTCGCCGTTAACAGAAACTGTGTATATGGAACAGCCCGAGGGGTTCAGCAGCGGGGACAACCAAGTGTGTTTGCTACAACGCAGTATCTATGGGCTGAAGCAGGCAGGAAGGGACTGGTACCAGACGCTGAGCACGTTTCTTCTGGAGACTGGTTTCACTCGAAGCACCAATGACTTCTGTTTGTTCACGATGAGGGGAATGGATGATGCTATGATCTATGTTCTAGTATGGGTGGATGATATCATCATTGGCTGCAAACTGCAAGCAGAAGTTGACAGGGTGAGGGACCGATTCACTGACCGATTCAAGATGGATGATCGCGGTCCATTAGCCTGGTTTTTGAAAATGCAGGTCAAACGGGCACCTGGTTCTGTCACTGTGAATCAGTCTCGCTACATTGAAGACTGCTTGGAGCGCTTTGGGTTGGCTGACTGCAAACCAGTAGGGACACCAGCTGATATCAGCACTCAGTTGACGAAGAAGGACTGCCCTGGAGCGGGCTCAGAAGAAGCAGTGGCAATGCAGCGTGAGGACTACAGAGGCATAGTGGGCTCGTTATTGTACATAGCCAAGCAAACGAGGCCAGACATCCTAGCTACTGTGACTCAACTTTCACGGTTTCTGGAGAATCCTGGGAGAACACACTGGGTGGCTGCTAAGAGAGTACTGCGATACCTGAAAGGAACCAAAGATCTGGAGCTGTGCTACATCAAAGATCCTGATGGGTTCAACCTTTATGGTTCAGCAGATGCTGACTGGGCTGGTGACGTTGATGACAGAAGGTCAACAACAGGCTACAGTTTTCATGTGCAGCGGTCAGGAGCAGCAATCAGCTGGAGTACCAAGAAGCAACCTACTGCAGCAATATCTACCAGCGAAGCTGAGTATCAAGCAATGGCAGCGGCTGTTCAGGAAGGCCTCTACTTACGATCCCTACTCAATGAGATGGATATGACGTGTGATGGTCCAACTGTGATCAACGAGGACAACCAGAGCTGCATCAAGATGTGCAAAAATCCCGTAATGCAGAAGCGTACAAAGCACATTGATGTCAAGTATCACTTTGTCCGAGAGCGGGTCGAGGATGGAACATTTGCGCTCGAGTACTGTCCAACCGAAAACATGGAGGCTGACTTGTTGACGAAATCCCTGAGCAAGGCAAAGGTGGATCAACATCGTCGAACGCTGATGGGTTGCAGCCTGACATTGGACAAAGCCAATTCAGCCTGAGTGGGGGTGTTGAGGACAGACGAGCTCAATGCCAGACTAGTGAAATACCAGACCAAACTCAAGGTCAGACTTGAGCAATAGAAACCTAATTAAAGGTCAACTGGTATAAAACTCAATGCACTCAGACAAGGTCAACTGGTCTGCTGGTATTTGATAAACTAATTAATTAACTGGTAATTAATTAACTGGTACTATTTGATGCTCAGTTTGTCGTGTCATTTTATAAACACAATCTCAATTCATTCTTCAACAATCAGTATCTCTTCTCTCTCCTCAGTTGAAATCTCAGATAACTCTCAAACCTCTATCCCCTAGTCCTACTTGCTCTAACTCTGAATCTTAACAGATGTGCTTAGGGGGAGAGAAGTCGCCCACTGGAAATGTCTCAAACACATTTGTCCAGTGTTAGTCACCATGCTTTAATTGCTGTTTTCTGGAAATTTGCAGTGAAGATTTTTCAAGTCTTTGTTTTTGATTTTATGTTAATACCAATCAGAGACCAGATATTGAAAGTGATGCGAGTTTCATTGTTTTTAATACCTAGGGTCTTCCACCTTGAAGCAGTAATAGATCACGGCGAACATGAATTTGGTGGCCGAATTACTGGTTTTTCATGAGGACCAACTAAGCCATAAAAGGCTCATTTTTTAACCACATTTCAGTATTTTTTTAAATTGTTTTTCTATCATAAAGACCACGTGAACATGATTAGCTAAATCACTGAGGGTGGTTTGAGGATTATTGAACAGTTTCGTCTAATTGAACAAGTGCTTCTTTTTCAGGTGTGTAGAAACTGTGCACGAGTTTGATGGTTGGCGCTCACATGGGCGAATGTATCACAGAGCCTGCTTCAAGTGTACAACTTGCGGTTCCCCCATCGCAAAGGGGAGTGAGACGGTTAAGAGGAGCAGAGAGGGGGAGAGGCGATTGTTCCACCAGTTGTGTGTCACCACAGCCGTTCTTAGAAACTGGACCGGATGAAGCAGTATAGTAGTAACTCAAGTGACTCTGAACCAGTCTATACCAATTGAATGAAAATGAAATAGAATATCCTACTCTTTTCCCTCAGAAATAAATCATCTTTCCCGGGGCAGTTACATCAGAAGAAAAAGTTTTAGGTCGGCCAAATTTTTTAGGTCGGCCAAAATGAATTTTTCAAACATTCTCATTCACAGAACATGGGTATTTTTTTCCATTTTCAAAAAATTTAAAGTTATGAAATTTATCTCTAAAACACGTTTAAATTACGTAAACTTTCCACCCCGAAAAGCTCAAATCATAGCGTTTGATGTTAATTGAAAGTCGAAACGGTTGAAACATACCTCGCGTGGGTCGAGCAAAATCGAGCACAGTTTTTTTCGTCGAGACAATCGAAAAACATCTTGATTGAGTTGAGCACGGCCGAGCACATCTTTTTCGGTCGGCATTCGAAATATAACATTTATTGGTAGAGATTGTCAAAACTTAAAGTGAGAACTTCGACCCGGGTTACAGCGTCTGCTTTAGAGTTTTGTAAAGAAAAACTAATTTTCTCAATACAAAAGGAAATTATAATACCTTTACCGAATCGGGAGGTTTTAAGTTTCATAGTCTATATGCATTTGAGAAAACTGAAGAAAATGTAGAAGTTTTTTTTGCAAACTATCGAGTAGTTTATTGAACTCGTTTTGTAATTGATAAATAAATCTGGCTTTTGTTTTTCTCAATTTCCAATCAAGTGATGCGTGGATATTTGTCATCACCCACAAATATCTGAACAGATTCAGTTATCAAAATTACTACTTTTTTCCTAAAAGGCAAGAAACAAAAGATAGTCACAGAAACGAGTTAATGTGACTTTTTTGAACTAAAGCATTCCAACCGGCATGGTTCTCTGTATTTTGTATGTTATTTAAAAAATGCTTTAGAAAAGAATGTTTCACTTAGGCGGTCCAGGAACAACGAATCTATGATTTGCTTGAGCGACTCACGGTTTGTGATAAAGTTTTTAGTTTGAATTTTTTTGCAGTTCAACCACATTGAACTTTCAAAGCCTTCTCAGTACACATCATAAGCACCACTTTTCCTGAAAAGTATCCTGCGGCGCATGCAGTTTTCTAAACAAGAAGCCAACATCGCGCTCTCTCTTAATCGGCCTTATTTTTTGCAAAGTATTATGGTGCTGGCTCGTTGCTACTAATTGAGACAATAATTCCTAGCTAAAACAAAACTTAAACTGATAGTTTGTTTTAAAAAAAAAATTCAAAAAGCATCGTCTTAAAAATGTATATTAAATAAACAAATATTAATTACGTTTGGGCTAGTCGACATACTTTCTAATCGAATTTGAATATATTTATTCAAATCGAGCTTAAAATTGAGCAGTCCTCATGACCATTATTTTAACACTCGTATATACGGCGGAAAGATCCACACATTGAAGTTTTATGGATAAAAATTTATTATAATGTCATGAAAATATGGGTGTTAAAATTCCGCCGTATATGTGGGTGTTAAAATAATGGTCATGAAAATTTACTAGTTATTTTTGCAAATTATCGAGTAGTTTATTAAACTCGTTTTGTATTTGAGACTCAAATTTGGGTTTTGTTTTTCTCAATTTCCAATCAAGTTATGCGTGGATATTTGTCATCACCCACAAATATCTGAACAGATTCAGTTATCAAAATTACTACTTTTTTCCTAAAAGGCAAGAAACAAAAGATAGTCACAGAAACGAGTTAATGTGACTTTTTTGAACTAAAGCATTCCAACCGGCATGGTTATCTGTATTTTGTATGTTATTTAAAAAAATGCTTTAGAAAAGAATGGTTCACTTAGGCGTTCTAGGAACAACGAATCTATGATTTGCTTGAGCGACTCACGTTTTGTGATAAAGTTTTTAGTTTGAATTTTTTTCGCAGTTCAACCACAGTGAACTTTCAAAGCCTTCTCAGTACAGATCATAAGCACCGTTTTTCCTGAAAAGTTTCCTGCGGCGCATGCAGTTTTCTAAACAAGAAGCCAACATCGCGCTCTCTCTTAATCGGCCTTACTTTTTGCAAACTATCATGGTGCTGGCTCGTTGCTACTAATTGAGACAATAATTCCTAGCTAAAACAAATCTTAAACTGATAGTTTGTTTTTAAAAAAAATTCAAAAAGCATCGTCTTAAAAATGTATTTTAAATAAACATATATTAATTACGTTTGGGCTAGTCGACTTAGTTTCTAATCGAATTTGAATATATTTATTCAAATCAAGCTTAAAATTGAGCATTCCTCAAAACCATTATTTTAACACTCACATATACGGCGGAAAGATCCACACATTGAAGTTTTATGGATAAAAACTTATTATAATGTCATGAAAATATGGGTGTTAAAATAGTAGTCATGAAAAATTAGTAGTTACTTTTGCAAATAATCGAGTAGTTAATTGAACTCGTTTTTTAGACTCAAATTTTGGTTGTGTTTTTCTCAAACTCTGATCCAGTGATGCGTGGATATTTGTAAGCCCCCATGAAAATTTGTGCAGATTTAATTATAAAAATTGCGTTTTCTCCCTAACGGAAAAGAAACAAAAGATGGTCACAGAAACGAATTTAATTTAACTTTTTTTGAAATACATTCCAACCGCTATGGCTTCTGTATTTTTCGTGTTTCTTAAATATATATTTGAGAAAACGAATGGTTCACTTTGGGTGGTCCAGGAACAGTGAATCTATGATTTGCTTGAAAGACGGACGGTTTTGTGAAAAAGCTTTTTGTTTGATTTTTTTTGTAGTTCGATCACACTGAATTTTAAAAAGGTGTTCAAAATGATTTCGTTTTATAAATGCATACCTAATAAACCATTTTAATTACGATTGGTCGATAAATTTTCTAATCGAATTTGAAAAAGCTTATGCAAATTAAGCTTCTGAAACTTAATTTTGAGCAGTCGCCAAGACCATTTAATTAACAAAGATCCCCGTATTGAATTTTTTTGGATATATATGGATAAATTGATTATAATGTCATTTTGTGGCCAATCTCCACTTAATTAAAAAAAATAATTATAATCAGTTGAAGTTGGATCACTTGCCACTCTCATTGAAACGTAAAATCCATTTTATTTTGATAACAGTCAAAATTATTAAAATGTTTTTGAGAAAATAATTCTACTTTTTAAAATTAAGTCTGATTTTTTCAAACATTATTGGTTAGTTTTGTTAACAAATTCTGGGTTATTTAAAGCATAATTTACGTTCTTTAGAAAAAAGTTGATCTTACTATACGTTATTTTTTTTATATACGTTATATTTGTTCCTTTTTTCACTTTTTTTTTACTTTTTCTTCAATTTCCTAATTTTTTTGCCCTCTATCTAGCTGTTTTAATTACGTTACGATCTAAGAGTACCTTTTTTAGGGTTGACCATCAAAATGCAATGTCGGTCAGCCCGCTCTAAAAACCGGGTAAAAGAAACCATTTTGGTTGGTTTGTTCGAAAAGCTTTCTCTGTACTCTTACAGAAATGTCTAAGTACATCTCTGAGCCACCCAAAATGCAGAAGAAAAATTAACCAGAGTAAAAAAAATGCAGAGTAAATTAACCCTAGCAGGGAGCGTAACTTAATACTGTTTGTTTTTGTTGAGTTGTTGGAAAACAGCTGTTGGAAAATTCACAAACGAATCTAACAAAACTTCTTCTATATACTTTCAAGGGTGGTTTGTAAACGTGCAAAAAACTGGTTTCTCTATGGCGTTAAGAAATTGCTGCTTTTTTATAATCTTATTACAAAAGCACATGCATTTTTCTGTTTTCAATAAAAAAAGTGTCAAGGGTCAAGGACTTAATCCAAAACTGTTGCTGACTACCTGGCAATTGAGTCTTAGAATGATTTCGTTGGTTAGCATAGTACGAAAAGGGCTAAACTGTGTTTGTATCCCGAGTCGAGGGTTTATGTTTTGACTTTCAAAGTCGAGCACAATTTCAGTGCTTGACCGAAAAAGAATAGTCACTTAATAGAAACTTACCTCGGGCTCAGTCAAAACTAACCTCCAGCGGTCAGAAACTAACGGTCGAAATTTGACCGAGAACGTTCAAAACATACGGTGATCTGGGTATCCAGAGTTGTTTCATGACAATTTATCCCTTACCTTTTTATCCCAGGCGAAGCTATCCCAGTCAAAAATATCCCAGAAATAAAAATAGCCCAGGACGATGTAGCCTACGCTAATTAAAATATCCCATCTGAGGAATCGAAAAAATTAAAATATCGCAAAAGAATAACCAAACGAAATGAAACCAAGATGCCGAAATTGAACTAATCTCATGGCTGTGCTCGTGATTGAACGAAATAATGGTTTCGTCGCAAGTTATTAGGGTCATTGGGCATTTATGTGAACGCCATTTTACACAACGCCATATTACCATATGAGTTTTACCGTAGATAAATTCTGTCATATTGGTGTTCATTGGATTGGTGCTATGTGTTTAATGATATGTCTTTGCATTGTGTTTCATTATCAAAATTTTCTCAATTATGACTCCATTAACAGGTTGAAAAATAATATTTAAGCCTTAGAAAAGAGTCTTTTACCAATAGCACTATCTCTATATGGCGTCTCGAAATAATTGACGTGGGCTATTTTGGTATGGGCTATTGTGTCCATTGGGATATATTGGTATGGGATATTTTGTAATGGGATACTTTCGTATGGGATACTTTGTCCTGTCACCGACTTTCGCTGCTTTCTGACTGACCAAATTTGTAAGTAGTTTTGGCCCGAGTTTTGTTCCGGTCGTCGCGAGATTTAATAAGTTTCTTCAAGTAGAATCAGTATGCATGTTGATTATTCATTTCAATCAATCGAGATTCAAATTGCTCAGGTCACCTAATTTCAGACACAAAGTGAGCCTGTTTTTTTCAAGCTGCCGCAGTTTGGGGTCAATTTGATGAATTCATTGTGTGTTATTTTTCTAAACATTAGCATGAAAATGTTTAGAAAAAAAACACATAAAACGTTTATCAAAATGACTCTAAACTGCGGAAGCTTGAAGAGAAGCACAAATTTTTGTCTAAAAATAGTTGA